GTTTGCCATACTTACAATGCTGTTCTGTTGCTCTTTTGTTGTATTCTCTTTTTATGCCATTCTAGGTGTACATAACTGCCTTTTTTTTTTTTTTTTTTTTTGTTTTTTTTTTTTGTTTTTGCAGAGCACCTACTTTTAAGAAGTGTATGTGAATTTTGAGCTATTTTGCTTACAGTGTTTGAGTTCTAAGAGTACTTATGGGAGAGAGGAAAGCACACATTTGCTGCTAAACTTTAGTCTATCGTGGTTTCATAGTGATAACCTAAAACCCCTTCGGACACAGATCAGGACTTCGGTTGAGTATGACTGTCCACCACATAGGCAAGCAAACACAAACCACTCTCATCATATATTTGAATTGATTTTCTTCTGGTTATTCAGTAACTGTTTAGTTTTAGCTCTAGGTTTAGGTAATAAATATGAAGTGGATTAAAGCCATGGCTCCTCAGACTGGCCCTAGGCTCATTTGTAACAACCCATAGTGCATCTGTGCTTTAACAAGCTCACTCCTTTCAGTTAATCCATCCATAGTCCTAATGATCTTCCTCTTGAAGCCAATCCAAGGGGGTAAGGAAGAGACTTACCCCTACACCGTGAGCAATCAGGGCAGAGACTGGCTTTGGAGTTCAGAACCAGATGGCTAGAAGCTTCACTGACATTTAATAAAGACTTCTGGTATTAAGACAAATGCCAAGATCTGTAGGCTGCCCAAATTTCAATAACTCCTTTGCCACTTTTGAGTCATCATTAATGCCATCCCACTCAAGGGATATTCCTAGGTGTATCCCTCTTCCCAGTACTTTTTTGATTCTACACTCTTAATTTGCATTAACACAGCTGGCGATTAAGCTTTTAACCCTGTAATGGTGTAGTGTGATAGAAAATACAGCAATAGTAACAGAGTAGCAAATGAGAACAACCCCAAATACAGCAGGTATGGATACCAAAAAAAAAATGAAAGAAAAAAATTGCTTACCTTTACATGATCTCCAGTAGGCAGTAACCTCCAACAAGATACCCTTCCCTCCACTCTCAACCTTTAAATGAGGTCTGAGAAGGGGTGGAGCCTGGCTCTACCTCTTCTGGTCACTCAGGTTCATTGCATGCACCTGAGCTCCCCTGGGTTGGCCCTGCCTTTCCATCAGGTGCTCAATCACTTTTTCAGTCTGTGACTCAGCATTTCTGCTACACCCCCCAGCTCTTCTCTCATAATTCCTGGCAAGCTCCATTCAGTGCTGTAATCTGTGTGAGCTGCTTAAACCCTTCTGCTTTTCCATGGCAGTTTTCAAAGACTGGAGATCTTTGAGCAGTCTCCTGTGAAGTTTTAGCAGCCTCCTCCCACTCCCTATTGCTGTGTTGGGCAAGGGGCAGCAGTCTGCTTTCCTCTTTCATGCCATTTCTGAGCAATTCTTCAGTGTTGTGCTTCGCCCTGACTGATCAAAGCCTCTCCCACTGTGACCTTTGATCAAGCAATGAAAGATTTCTAGCAGAGTATCAGCCCCTTCCTGATTGCTGTGAGGTGGGTCAGCCATTACTCAGGGCAGTATGGGTTTAGTGGAAGTGCTTGCTTGAGCAAGGCTGGCAGGGGTTGCCCGTTTGTCTCCTAAGCATTTTTTAGTTTACTGCATGGCAAGGTTAGTTGCTGCTGAGTGCTCTGACCCCGCTTTTCACCATGTTGAATTCCTTGTGTTGCTGGTGTCAACACCATTCTCCCCTGTTCAGGCTGTCCAGAAGCACTCATGTGACAAACAAGATCTGAGAGATACATACTGTCTATCTATATGCTATGCATATGCATGTAAATATATGTATACTTACATATCTTTCATACATGCCTATGTGTGTATGTATATATGTAATCTATCTCAGCATGCTTGTGTGAAGGCCTTTTCCTCACTGGCAGAATTTGAACTCCAAGTGGGCTGTTGTCTGTCTGCCATAGGGCATGATGGAAGAATACTTCTTTTGCCTCTGTTGAAAATGATTGACCATTGGTTCAGTCAAATGCTACAGAGCATTAATGAGACGTTGGCTTTGTATGCCAGCCAGGCTACCATGGATGTGCTGTGGGAGACTGACACGTGCTTGGGCTCCACGTGGTTCATTGAAGGCAGATTCTCTTGGCAGGTGGAGCAAGGCAGGAATGTTTAATCTTTCATTGAATACTGACCAAATTTGCAGAACAGGTTACAACTGGAAAAAATATGAATGACCAAGCAGGTGAAACTGATGCTGTCTTCATAGAACCTTAGGAATTGTCTACACAGAAAAGGATGTTAGCTGGTATGAGTTACCGAAACTCTTCACTGGTATTTGATTTCCTTTGGTTTCTCTTTGTTTTGCTCAATCTACAGTCATTATGTGAGCATAACATTTGCTGACTGAAATTCCCTAGAAAACTTCATTATTTAATACAAAATAATATCTTCACCAACATCTCTGAAACAGGTGGTTTCTCAAATGTTGCCAATATTTCCAAAGCCATTATTGGTTTTGTTTTTTTTTTCTTAATGAAAAAAGTTAAAAAACAGCCCTCTAAACAACAATAAGAAGTTCTGCTTTTGATTAACAGAGAAAAAAAGTTTAATTTCTAAAGATGTCTCTATATTATTAACTCAATTATCAGAAGGGATGGTTGAATGAGCAGACAATTAAAAGAAGGAGAAGCTCAGAAGGAAAAGTTCATCAGTGTATTAGGCAGACAATGGGGGAAAGTAAAACTATTCCAAGTACTATTTGAAGGAAGCCATTTGGGAAAGAAATAGGATTAATTAAGTTTTGAACCGGTTAATTTTGTTATCTAAAAATATTTCACAGATTAACCACTATAACGTACTTATGCATGAGGTAATGTCTGAGCTCCTTCAGCAGGGCTGCTCTCGATAAAGGTACTTTAAATCAACATGGCTCTCCAGACTTTCCAGAGCCCATAGGGTATTCTGCAGCTGAGATTAAGATGGAGCATTGAGACAGCCCCAACAGAGAGGTCTGCACTGTGCAGCAGTATTTTGCTGTGGCTCACAGTCAGCTGAATCCCACTAAACTCAATGAGAGGCAATGGCTTTGTTGCCTCTCATGGGGAGTGATCCTTAGGCTTTATCACCTTCTCCATCTCCCTGCCTGTTTTCATTGTAGGCATCAGTGTAAAATAACTTTGTAGAGCTAGAGCAGTGATTTGGAGGAGCCTCAGTGGAACCTGCTGTCACCAGAACTACCCCAAAGAGGAATCACTTTCCTTCTGCAATTTATTCCCATTGCCGCTCCCTTGGAGCTCGTGTACATGCAGCTACAGGGATGCTCCAAGTGTTCCTTCATCTACAGAATTCTGGTAAACTCTTCCTTTCCTGTTCTTTTTCCTGTTCTCCTTGAGAAAATGTCTGTAACCTTTTCCTTCCATGGATTTTTCTCCCTTACATTTTTGTTTTTAGGGCTGATCCTGACAGTAGGGACAGTTTTCCATGACTTTGTCTCAGGCCTCCAAGATAGCTCTGTATTCCAGCTCTCAGTACAGTTTCCATCAAAATATATGTAGTGATATTTGTGTGTACAAAATCCCCTTGCTGCAAAGCTTTGGACAATGGGGTCTGTGCCCTCACTCCACATGCATGGCCCTGCTTTGTGAAAACAGGTCCCATAATTGAAATAAATCAATACGCAAAAGGCAAAAAAATAAATAACTAACTATGTTCACCCTGGTTGGATAGGGCTTTTGTTTGTGCCTTCGTTTTCTTCAAGGCGTGGGTAGTGAATCATGACAAATTACTTTCTGGAGCTTTGCAGTCTATTTGTTAATGAATTAATTTTAACATGCACCAGCCACGGCTCCCCCCATGCTCCTGCATGGTCCCTGGGTGGGGGTGGACCGGTGGCTCTGTCCTCAGCAAGGGGACAAGCTCAGAAAAAGTGTGACAAAATGTATGCAATGTTGGGTGGCCCATGCAAGGCAAAGACATTCATCCTGCCCTTCCAGTTGTTGAATTTAGGTGAGAAATGCCAAATATATGATTTGAGGAAAAAACATGGCCTCTGGGTGCTTGAAAGTAATTTTCCATAGGTGGTATTTGAGAATCTTATCTTCTATGTCATTAATAATAATCTTTGAAGGGAACCCTATAAACTGTCTTCCATTTCTGATGAGATGGAATAATTTATTACTTCAATTTCCCTGATTAATGTAAAATGTGTTTCAAATTTAGGTTTTACTTTAATATTTCAGCTTCCCCATGAGGGGAGCTGCAGTAGGGCAGGGTGACTGTGTCATCCCCCGTATCCACCCTCCCTATGCCATGGCATGTTCCCAAATCAGGGTGAGCTCCGCTAGCAGAGCAGACCTGCAATAAAATTAAGCAGCAAAAACAGCTTCTTTCAAGACCCTGCTCTCTAAAAGGCAAGAACATTGGTGCCCAGCTGCCTGGAAGGGCCAGATCCCACAGCTCTAAATGTTAAGTTATGAGCTGAGTTTGGACATTCTCAAGAATGTCTTCTCCCAAAAGAACTGGAAAAAAGCCTGAAGTTTGTGTTCTTTAGAACAAATCATATTGTAGGTAGAAACAAACCTATTCTCAGTAGGCTTTTTGCTGTTCTTTTCCACCACTGCGTTCTTGAGTGCCAAAGTTGAACAAAAACATGGTGCTTTGTCTTGTCCTTACACCATGCACTAAGCTGAGCTCCAGGGTTCACTGAAGACATTCCATGAGCTGCTAAAACTCTTTACATGTTCTGTGTCTTCCATGGCCTATATTTATGCTACAGCAACTGGAGGGCTCATTTGTGTGCCTTGACCACTCAGGTCGCCCAACTCTAGTTCAAAGGGACATAAAAGACTATATTACTACAGTAGGGTCTTTATCTCAGTGAAAACAATGGTGTAATGCAGCAGTGCTGGGATGGGAAGCCCTTAAATGCAGTGATGAAAATCAGAGCCCAGACAAAGAGGAATCTGTTTTAGAGAGACTTATTTATTAGAAGATAGGAGGTTGTTACATACAGATTCTGTCCTGCAAAAGTGTCCTGGTTAAGGATATGTCAGGGAGATGTTTAAACCCGTTAGAGGTGGTTCTGGTCTCCATGCAGAGATACTCAAGACACAGCAGAGCTCTGTCAGGCCTGGCTCTCACACTGTTGCTCAGCTGCCGAGAGGCCTGACATACCACAGCATCCCTGAGCTCGTTACACCACCTTTATCCCACTGGAAACCCTGGCCTGTGGGCTGGAAACCAGCGGTGGGGACGCCAGACAGTGCTGCAGAAGGGGCATCGTTCCTGGGGGGAACCTGGAGGTGTTTTCCCCAAGCAGGGAATTGTCTTCCATCGTGCCAGCGATGAACACGTCTGAGCAAGGGGCTATGGAGATGCAACCATGCTGTGAGGTAGCATGAGGTAAGTTAAAATAAAACAAAATAAAAAAAGAAAGAAGAAGGAAAATAAAGATCTCTCTGCGGTGCAGAGAAGAGCTCCTGCCATCTTCCCTTACCCCAAAACCAGACAGAGAAGGCAATGTTCTAGTCCCCTGCAGAGACTGCAGAGAAAGCAGCTGTGATAGGTGGATCTCAAAAAGGCAGAGGTTTTGCCCCATAATAGTTGTGCTCCTCGCAGTTTTCCTCCACTTTCACAAGTGACCTGATTCCCGTTGGGTTGGCAGGTAGCGTTTGTCAGCCTTTCATAAGGCCTCTGCCCCACAGTGGCTCTGGGCCTTTGCCTGAGGAAGCCCAGGTGAATCAAAAAGCCACCGTACAGTGTTGCACCTCCTGAGTCAAATCCAGGCCCATGGTATGCCACGCAGAGTGTGGTCACATTGGTGGAGAGGCAGGGACAAACAAAATGGCAGGTGAGAGGCATAAGCCATCACACTGCAATAACGAAGGGCCTGAGAGCAAACCTTCTGCAGGTGGTTGGTGGCTCACAGCCAGTACAAGGCTCGGTTTGTCTTTATTCCAGGCATGCATCATCCTACTGCACTTGGACAGGTACACGTGCAGAGCAAAGTGGGTTAAGTGGCAGCTGTAAGTTTTCTTTTCATACACAGCTATCTGATATGGATACTTTTCCAACATCTAGCAGGCTTCTTAAATGAGCGTATGACTCAAGAGTTGTCTGTTTAATGAGCCAATCTACGGATGCAGAAGGAGGAAGATAAATAAATACTTGACTCTAACTCCTGCAGTTCCTTTGCTGAAGCCAAACTCTTGTCTACTCAAGGGTCTTTGCTGGCTGGGTCAGAGTATCACCTTCGCATCACTGTCTGCAAAGGCACGTTTTACTGCATTTCTCTTGTTCTGTGGCTCCACAGACTATTTGTAAAATTCTGGACATAATCTCCCACTTTGCCTATACTGTATATGAGCTTTTGTCTACTGCAGGATGCTATCAAGGGTTTCCCTTTCCAGTCTACAAATCTGAAGGAGATAATTTTAACAGGCTTGCCAGAAATTTTTAGAAAAAATTAGCTGCTTATGGTTCATCTATCACCATTTCTCCCTGTCTTTAACCCAAGAGTGGGCTTTGCTAGCCTGATATACTAGAAACTTTTGAAACTAAGGACTTTATAGCGAATGCTCAGTGATGACAATGTCAATATGAAAAATAGGTCTTCAGAAGTGACAATTTCTGAGACGAGCATTTTTCTTTTGCTACAGATAACCTTCAAGGTTGGAGATACTGGGGATGGGGAGTTGCAAGGCTGCAGCTGTCAAGCAAAGCAGCAGACCTCCAGTTACCTTTAGGATAATGGACATGGCATTGAACAACATGTCTAGCTAGCTTTGGCACAACAATGCCTACTTTTAATCAGGTTTTATGTTCCTAAGGCACTCGGACTCCTTTTTTGGAACATGCACCCCAATGAGTCTGATTTTCTTGACTGTGAGGGTTAAGAAAATGCTTCATGAAGGCAAAGCACAATTAGCTGAGGAGAAAAAATGCTCCAGACCCACTGAAATATCAAAACCCCAGAAACAATCATCGGGCACATCTTCAATTCTTTAATGACTTTCATGGTAGTGCTCCCTCACCTTCTTCATCCTTCAGTGAAGGTTGATATGAGGATCCCAGGTCCTCTGAAGGTCACCACAATGGTGTTACGTGGGGAGGGCAATACCTTGCTCCAACAGAGGAGTGTAGGAAGCCAAAGCTCTTGGCATAAAATTTGCCACGAAAGAACAAATTTGGGAGTTTAATGTGAAACAATCTCCTCTCTTTCCTCAGCCCTGGCATTCATAAAAAAAAAAACAACTAATTGTCCCAGCTTGTTCAGGAGGGAAGGAGACATACTAGACAGCAGAATATCTGTTTTTACTGTCAGATTAGCAGTTACAGGCAGCTTTTTGTCTCCCTTTCCATGATTCCTTCCAGACCTGCTTCTTCAGCCACCCGTGATGAGAACCTGTTCCTCCTAGGTCTTACTGAAAGACCTTGATGAGTGAAGCTCGCCTGTCAGAACTGTATGGACACTGTAGAAAAGTTCTCGTTGATGAGTTTGGAGAGAAAACTTAGAAGTCCATTTTCTCTCCAGAACACGTGCACAAATGCAGGAGGCATGATAGCCCATTTCCTCAAGACCAGACGAGCTGGCCCCGATGAGTGCCTACAGCCTTCAGTCAGGGAACTCTGAGCATCCTCAGGGTGCCACCCTGACACGAGCAGTCCTGAACTCATCAGATCTTTTTGGGTCCCCCTGTTCTGAGGGCTCTGGGGAGGTGTGCTGCGAGGTAGCGCTATGCGGCTGCACTAAGGAAGCCTAACGGGGAGAACAGACACGGAGAAGCTGGAGAAGCTCAAAGCAGAGGAGAGCAGTTCACTGAGGCTCCAACAGCGTGCAGTCAAGGGGCTGTTACCCAGACTTTGTGGCACTTAGTAGCCACTGTGTTTTGAGTATCTCAGCTGGGCGTATAAGACCAGTTCTAACAATATCCAAAAGGAAGAACGTTTTCTCATTCATATGGAGTACGGAGTCACAAGGGAATAACTTGCTAAATAGAAAGATTCTGAACATTAATTACAGTATCTTTTATAATTTTATAATTTAATTGCCAACCTTTTCCCTTGAAATTAATCACTGATGTACATCATATAATCAAACAAGCTTTTTAAAAAAGTACATCTTAATATAAATAGTTTATTCAGTGCATGGTTGTGTATACAACAAATAATAAACAACTCTTTTGTACAAGGCAGAAAGCTGCCTGTACAGAACTATGTCAGTTTTGGAGCACAGAATCCAACGATGATTAATGCACAAAATCTTACACATCATGCAACTCTAGGCCAATATTCCAACTTTCTCCCATGCAACAGACATGATGACCTAAATGGAAACCTAACTACATTTTTTTTTTTTAAACAACTGTTTCCAATAGCATGTATAAGTATATGTTGTTTAGGGGTAACCTGTCCTAACGCTTCCTCCTACACAATATTCACGTGCCCATTACAGTGAAAGAAGGACTTTTACAAATAAGACATTTCTTATAAAAAATTAAGTCACCTTAATTCCACAGTTTCTGTCTTTAGAAAAGAAGCCACAACAATAGTTTAACATGACACACAAAATGGAATTAAGAGAAATCTACACTGGAGGATAATTTTATCCCTTTCTGTCAACTTCCACTTGGGATAACAAAACATTTCAGTTCCTACAGACTGGGGTTAGCACAAGAACTTTACCAGAAACTACAAATCTATAAAAATTTATATTTCATTGTGTTTAAAACCACAAGAACACTGTTTGCTAGAGCCTGAGACGCCAACTCTCAGTTCCAACCCTGAATTTGTAATTATTTTTTTGAAAGACATAGCTTTAAAGACCCATTGGAGTTCAGAAATCAAAAAGCTGCACTATTTCAAATTAAAGGATACATCTTTTTTATCAAGCCTTAGATATAAAACTGTAAGCCAAGGAAACAACAGAGTTTACATATTTGTTTTTTGTTTCCCCTATAAAACATATAAGCATTAAAATTTCCTTTGAAGAGCAAAAGTGGTCTTTTTCTTAGTTGGAAAGCAAATTCTTATCAGCAGTGAATGCTGTGAAATGTTTTTGTTTCATATTCCACAAAGCATAGGAGAGAGAGAGAAAGAGAGAGAGAAAAAGAGAGAGAGAGAAAGATCTGGACACCTCTTCTCCGAGATTTAATCCGCAGTTATGTTTGCTGGCTATCCAAGTGCCTTGTGATATGCACAAGCATATTCTACATTATTGGGGTATATCCTTTGACAACCAGTAGATCTAATGGCTGATAAACGAGTGACCTATGCAAGTTCGGTGGCTTGTCCTGGGCAATTGAACATTTGGATGAAAGACTGCTAGTAAGAATTCAACTGCATCCAGAGGTAAGGTTCTGTTTAGAGAGCACTTGGCTTGCCTTAACCTGGCTACGTTGATTCGTTTTGGCTCATGGATTTACCCCCATTTAGCACTCCTGAAACACTTCTGCTCTTTGTTGGGGTCCCACTTCCAGATCTTGAGAACTCTGTGAGATCGTGGAGAGAAGGCTCTTTGTACATGGCCACTGCAAAGCAAAAGAGAGGCAGCACATCAGCATGCAGTACAGACACTTGGTGCAACGTCCAGCTACTAAACGCCCAGATTTTTCATTCCGCAATGAGCAACATAAGGAGTGAATTAAAAAATACAGCTTCCATTCAGAACACCCTAAGAAATTCCAAGCTCCTCTTAAAGGGAATGACATTTTAGAGAGGGGAAAAAAAACCAAACCCTAGTTACCTTTTCTCCCAGTTAAATCACCCACCTACCCGCTGCGCTTGCAAAGCTTTGCAAGATAGATGCGAGCTGATATAAATCAGCATTTCCTTACTAATGGTGAAAGAGCACTGCTAACAGCTGTGATCTGGCCTATTACTTGTGCATACAGACCAAGCTGAAGAGTGTGAAAATGGTTTTTCAGCCTTCTGCTTCCTTTGCATTCATACACACAAATGAAGATCAACCTCAGCGTCAGTTGCCTAAAAGCTGCTCCTAAATGTAGATTACCAAGCTAGTCTGGAACCCACCCAAGGCTGTGCACCTTAGAAATATCCCCTCTGATTTCAGAATGACACTGCCTTAAAAGGTGTCTTAACAGCGTAACCCAGAAGTGAAGAGCCCACAAAGGAGGAGCTCGTGGAAGCTTTTTCTGGAGAACACAACCATGAAGATATTTTCTCACTTTGCATTAACCAAAGAAGAATCCGAGTCTGAGCACAGCACTGATTCAGATGCTCCAGGACTCCTGCCTTTTACTACACAGCAAGATATGTATGCCACATGCATTATTACCTTTAATGTCACATGATGATGCCACATTAATTGTGGTTAAATAAGCACTGCACACTGCAGCTTTATCCCAGACAAAAACAGACAAACATCCTGTAATACATAGCACAGATTGACGAGATGTACAGCAAGTTGGTAATGGCTGTGTAAATGCTTGGGCTATTCCAAGCAAAGCCTTCATTAGATGTAACAGAGATGCTATGGAATGTGGGCACAAAGAAACTAATGTATATATCTAGTTAGATGAGAGGAAGACAGAAGTAATGTAGAGAAGCATAAAAAATAGCAGGTTAGACTGAGAGCACGTTACAGAATATTATACCTTTGTTATATAGTTAGCTGTACCCTTCAAATATGTATGCGCGGCAATTAAACATCCCTGACAATACAAAGTCAATTCAGGTAGATGGAGCAAAGCCAACAAATTACCTTTTAATGGTTTTGGAAGAAAGTGTGCTGCAGGTTTATTTTTCTTCACGTGGTTTCCTTTCATTATTTCTCCTTCCTTGTTAAGACCCAAATACCAACCCCGGCCAGACTGTTGCTGTCTATAGATCATTGAAGAATATGTTACGTAGTAGTTTTCAAATACTGATTCTTTGAACTTGCATTCAGGTGTAAAATGTTCCTGCAAGAAAGTAAAAGATCAATACGTGCAATGCAGAGTCGCCCATCAGTTAATACAAAAGAATCCAATATTAACTGCTTTTCTGACAATTAAAAGAACATACCTCCTACCCTCTGCTATCCAATTTAGAACACTGGCCTAGAAGTACTAACAACAGACTAACACAATTTGAATCCCATGAAACGACACTGCAAGCAGCTCAAAGTAGCAGAATAAAATCTTTTTGGACACTGAGCAAAAAGTCTAAGTGAAGAAATAACAATTGATGCAACTAAGGGCTATCTAGTAGGCATGGTCCTGATGGCAGCCCCATGGGGCTTGCTGCAGTCCAGCTTTGCAGGCAAATAGCACGGCCACATAATGCCTCTGTGCATTAACTTCTGGCCTTAACTGCTCAGGAGGAGAGTGCAATAAAAATTCAAAGCCAGGCTACGATGAGTAAATGGTTTTTTACTAACCCAGCAATATTAAGGCAGCTTGTAGCAGCTGCTTCTTTGCTCTAAGCTTTGCTCTTCCTCTGCTCAGTGCATCATCTGCTGTCAGAGACCCACTGCAGACATCAGCCTCTGCCTGGGGACAGGCATGAGCTAAATGGCATTGCACTTACAGCATGTACAATCAAGAGCTAGCCTTCGTGTTGAATTGCACTGCTTTTTTTGAGGAGATGATACTGAGCTAACAGCTAACATAAGGAACAGCAAACCAGGAGAGAGCCTTGATCCTCTGGTTTTCACCATGCAGTGGTCTTCACCCAGTCAGTACCTTTTGGCACTATTAGCCATTTATGATAGCAATGGGTTGACGGTTGGACTGGATAATCTTAGAGGTCTTTTCCAACTTTAATGATTCTGTATTTCTAAGCAGGATAGGATGCAGGCATGAAACATGGGATGGAGCTAAGACCAAAATGCCAGGCTGATGGAACCACTCCATGACTTCCTGAGGTCTCTGGGTGCTGCAAGTTTTGTAGCAGCATAACTTTTGATGAGGTCTCAGCTATGATGTGGCACTGAGTGACAAGCATTGGTGGGCATGTTGGGGATGGGTTGATGGTTGGACCTGATGATCCTCGTGGTGTTTTCCAACCTTAATGATTCTACGATTCAGCATGATTTTATGGACCCCTAAAACCATATGGAATATGAAAGATGAAGGGCTTGGTCTGGTGATGCAGACGTTATTACTATCCCAACACTGCTTATGCAGCCATGGCTGTTTGCTGGGCTTTTCTTGTGCACGCAGCTAGCTTCTGCAGAGCTGTCCTTGTGCTCAAGTATCCGGCAGCAGCACAAAGGAAAGGAAGAAATATTGTGCCTGCATAATGATTGTAATTCTGATTTAAAAAAAAAAATCACAGGAAATTAAATGTCTCAGGATCTTAAGATGTTCTTATCTAGTTTCTGAAATATTCTTGTATGAGAAAAAGATGGTATTTATTTAAAAAAAAAAAAAAAAAGTACTTTTTCTGCATATCTTTTCACATTTTGTCTTCTCACAGGAGAAAGAAAAAAATTTCTCATCCTCTGACTGGCATTTGCTTCAACAAAGAATGAGAAGTAAGCAATTTTCTTCCTTTTTCCTTCAAACTAATTGGCTGTTATTTAGTTAATTGACGATTGGTTTCAATTGCTGTCAAATGGAGACAGTGAGTGTATTTTAGCAACATTTCTAAATAAAAGCCTTCTCCCATTGTACCCTGCCCAGTGCTAGCCATGTTAACAAAGACTATTGCCAATGTATCATCCAATTAGCAGCAAAATAGAAAACTACAGTGCTCCTGACAGATGATTACAGTTTATGTACAGTAATTTGGAGCTGTTTTGGGTAAAAAAGGCCCCACTTGTGCGCAGCAGCAGAGGGGCAGATTGTAAACAGATCCACAGTGTTTACTCCAGCTCTCCTAAGAAGCAAATTAACCTCAGCACAAGCAGCAGTAGCCGAGTCCCTCGAAGCAGATGCTAAAAAACTCATTTGCACTTGATTTTTCTCTTGGCTATGAGGTTCGTGGTGGAATTCACCATGAGTTTCTTGCAGCACTGCTCAAGTACAGCTGGACACTGCCTGCTCATGCCCACCAACCCAAATGGGCATCACCACAAGCACCACAGATAGCCTCCCCTCCCTGCAGCAACCCGTGGCTAAGTAGTAACAACCATGGTGAAGATATCTTGCGACGAACAGTGGGATGCAGACACAGACACCATTCAATAACATGCTCAGTTACCAGGCCAAATTCCCTCCCATTTTTCCACTACTGCAGCAGACAACCTAAATGCCTTGGCACAAGCGCCCACCCACTCTTCTTTATTGACCTCTCCTTAACTCCAAGGCTATGGCTGTAGCTTCAAAAAGGTGCTGCACAGTAGGAAGGGCTTTCTCCTTGCCAAAAAACAGTGATCCAACATGGCTGCTCTGCTTAAACCAAAATACCATGCTGCTGCTCACGTTTTGCAGTTGTTTGTTCCCATTCATCACTTGCCTTTTATTTAACACAATACGATCCTTTTCTACTCATTAAAAAAAGAATGTGGAAGGGGAACTGCAGAAGAAAGCTTTCACTAAGGAATGCTGGCAGATGCACTCTTGATTTAGGGGTACTGCAATTAAAACACAGTCTTCTGAGTTTGGCAAGTGATGTGGTTCTTAGGGACATGGTTCAGTAATCGTTACTGGTTCTAGGGGAATGTTTGGACTAGATGATCTTAAAGATCTTTTCCAACCTTAATGATTCTATGACTTCATGATTCTATGTGCCAACCCAACTGGGCATGGACAGGGCTCCTCTATCAGCACATCAGTTCAAAATATAGTGCAGAGCAACAGCTACACAATGGCCATTCTGTTGTCTTTGGTGATAAGTTACTTGATAGAGCATTGAGAAAGGGCAAGTTAAGGTTGGGAGATCTTCAAGAGTTCTAATTCTTGGGAGAATTCCTTTCAGCTGCCCTGAAAGGAAATATATCTTGAAAATGAAGTGCATTCTGAGGTGTCAAATATTATGAATATATTGCTACACAAAACAGAAGAGAAAATAGGTATTTGTGTGAAAGAGTATCTCAGTCTCAGCTTACCTCAGCAGTCAGGGATAATGGCACTACATGACAGTACACTGAACTCATCCAAGCCCCTCACACATGCACCCTTAACGATGAATGAATGAATGAATGAATGAATAAATAAGAGTTAAAGAAGGCGCTGGATTCACTGTAGTCGTGACTCAGCCATGCTTAAGTAAGCAGCAGGATGAACTGTCAGAAGCTGCTTCTTGACTCTGAGCTGAACTACTGAAATGTTCCTGCATGAATAGTTCTGCAGCTGCATTAGATACGTGAAAAACATTTTTTTAAAAAAAGGGAATATTTGGTATATGAAAATATAGTAAAAAGGCATTGTAACTTGCATTTAGAGTGGCCGTATTTCCAGGCAGCTGACTGGATTACATCTAAAATAATCCAGTCTCTTTCATACAAGAACTGCGTTATAGATCTTCCAAAGCTGAGAGCTAAAATACTGCAAAAGCAACCCTGGCATTCTACCTGCTCTAATTGTGCAAAAGCCATACTTAAGCCAAACACCATTAAAATTACCAGCCAACACAGCCATCTACACTGCAGGACTGAATATTAAACATCACGGCCTCAAATGATTGTAATACAGGAATTCAGACTCCCCATAGACAGGGAGTGTGGAACCCGCTTTAAATGAAGATATTTAAAGTTTGCAAGGTTGCATCGTGCAATGAAAGCCTCTTCTCAGGATGGCTGTACACACAGCATGCATTAGAAGGACAAAGATGCATGCTCTCCGCTATCAATTGCATATTGCATTTACATTGTGGATGCTGTCAGCAGGGAACATGACCAAATGCTTTACACAGCAGCACACTTAAGTCATTGGGTCAATACTGAGTTTGTTAAATTTCTGTATATTGCTACAGGTAGCATGTTTTATTGCTACCAATAGCAGCTGCTATTATAACTTGCTGAGATGGAATTAGTATTGGTGGCATGAAAAAAAACCAAACCCACAACCAACCCAAAACTTTGAAAAGTATTTAGGAAAAGCACTGGGTATATGGAAAACTTAGAGAGTGTTCTCACATAGAATTCTATGTTCATTTTGAACATAGATTTTTTTTTATTTTTCCCCTCCATATCTTTATTTCTTGCAGGACTACACCATAGCCCAGGATTCCATTCTATAATCATGAATTTTTGAAGGAGCCACTTTAAGGCTCCTGAGTAGTGATTTTCTGCACTAGTGAGCCTGCCTTTTCTTATTAAGAGATTGATGTCCTCCATCTCGGCATGTGAAGTTCCAGGGTGTGTCCCCTGTATCTTCACCCTGTAACGTGCAGTGATGCCAACAGCACAAGATGTGAATACTTCTATTTTTATGTTATCAGAACTAGCTGCTTTTAGATCACCAATGTGAGATCACTCTCTGAAGAAAGTAGCTGTTATTTCTGAAGTAAGGCCACTAAAATCTGCTTGCAACAGTGACAGCAGCTTATAATCCACCTGAAATAATTTATTCTGGATCAGATATATATGTCAGTTCCCACAGACAGGATGCAGTGCCACAAAATTGCCCTTTTTGCTTCAATTTACCTATTGTGAGGAATCCTTGTGGTTTGGGTGGGAGCAACTCACAGTGTAATTACCACGCATAGGTCTTATAGGACTGACGAGGAAATCTGCAATCCAGTTTGCATGCAGCAAAGTGCTCAGCTGTTTTGTCTATGTGAGAACCCACTTGGAAAATGCAAAGTCAAAGGTATCTAAAATCAAATTCCAGCACATGGAACTGCCTAGGATGCTGTAATAAGCAGGAATTGATAAAGTGAAGCACAAAAACCTCAGTGGTGTAGATTTCTTTAGGACAAAGGTTCCAGAAAGAATAAAATGGAGCCCAAGGAAGCTGGATTTCCAGCATCTCCAGGATGGGATTTTAGGTGGTCACTATGCATTCTCTGAACATATGAGAAAAGCATTGAAAAG